AAATAAACTCGAGTAAAATAAAATGTTAAGTTTTAAGAAAACACAAAATAAATTACAATAGAATAATCTCATGACTAAATTTAACTTTTACGTCGAAGAATAAGTCTAGTAAAATTACCGCCGATACTGGGTAAAATGAATTAACTCGAAATAAATTAATTTGGATTAAATTAAAGAATGTAAAATATTTAGGTTTACTCAATTTGCCGGAATTTCATTTAAGTTTACGAAATAAGAATTAAAATTTATTTAATAAATTTCTCGGACATAACAATTAGGATTAATTCAAGATACTAAGAACTCTTGTTTTAAATATTTAGTGTCGTAATATTAAGAACACGGCAGTAAATTAGTATTTAGAAGAAATGATAATTAGTTATTAAGAAATGGTTAATTAGAAAAACAATATTGGAAATTGTGTTATTTTGTAATTCGAGCGCTCGTATATTACTGTTATTGAGGAATTGGCTTTGAGTGTGTTTGTGTGAGCGTAAAGAGACTATCCAGCCTCGGGTAGTTCTCTCAGAGTAGCGTGAAGTTTGGGGGACAGCGTGCGCTGTGTGGACAACGTGTGTAGTCACGTCAGAGGTCCAGATCAGTGGCGTGAGAGTCCGTGAGACCGCGCGAACTAAGTTAGAGTAGCGTTAGAGGTCCAGGGGACGACGCGAAGTAGATAGAGTATCGTGAGAGTCCAGTAGGCATCGGGTACTACAGCCACGTGAGGGTCTAGCTGGACAGCGAGAAATATACCGAATGAGTGTGAGTGTGAGTGTGGATTATATCCATGAAATTTTATGTATTGTAATACTGGCCATATTTCAATTATAAGAGGGATTGGATAAATAAATAAATAAATTATTTTTGTTAAATGAATTTCTGTGTCTTAATCTTAGCTCCTTTCAACAAATCTCTCACGACCCTGACCTAACACTCCATGTTCTGGTCCAATTTCTGGAAACTGAGAACAAAAATCCAGTGGCGCCCTTAAGAGTAAAAGGGGCGACCAAGGGAAACAAAACATCCCGTTTCACACTACTAATAGCCCTCGATGGTGATCCGATCAACACTGGATGTACAGAAGAACAGACTAAGGACCTGATGAGGAGAGTAACACATGCTTGTGATGCCTGTATGCCTCGTAAACGTGGCATAAATTCTAGACCTTCGGTGCATTGGTGGAACGACCACATCAGCGTCCTCCGTAAAGAGTGTCATAAGAAAAGAAGAATCTCTCAGCGCGGCTATCGACGACCTAACTCTGCAGAGCTGGTCGCAGAATACAAAAAAGCCCGTCGATCATTGAACAAAGCCATCAAGGATAGTAAGAGACAATGCTGGAAAGAGCTCATCAACGAAGTGGATAAAGACGTGTGGGGTAGGCCTTATAAGGTGGTTATGACCCACCTGAAAAAACAACAAATGCCATCACCTACGTGTCCCCAACTTCTTCAGAAAATCGTCACTGCACTGTTTCCACAGCAACGCAACTTCGATTACCAGTTGGCGCCAGGCGAATCGGACGACATCCCACCTGTCACTGAAGAAGAATTGCTGGAGGCTTGTAACCGTGTAGGGAATAATAAAGTACCGGGATTGGACGGAATCCCTAATTTAGCCTTAAAAACCATCATAAAGGCAGCTCCAACATTATTCCTAGACGCTTATAATGCATGCCTCAAGGAGGGGACTTTTCCTCGTAAGTGGAAACAGCAACGATTGGTACTGTTACCTAAAGGGAAGAAACCACCAGAAGAACCGTCATCTTACCGACCACTTTGCATGCTAGATACGGCGGGTAAGATATTTGAGCGCATAATTCATCAACGAATAAATGCAGTAGTCGACCCACTCCTGGCAGACAACCAGTATGGATTCCGGAAAGGACGATCAACCCTGGACGCGATCAATCTGGTTGTTAGCACGGCTAAAGAAGCGATCGCAGGAACCAGATGGAAGGGTGGCACAAAGAAGTATTGCCTGGTGGCGGCATTAGACATTAAAAACGCCTTCAATTCCGCCAACTGGAACTGCATCATGCAAGCTCTTCGAGAGAAAAACGTTCCAGAATACTTGTGTAGAATAGTGGCCAGCTACTTCACCGATAGAGTTCTTAAATACGATACGAAGAATGGTCCAAAAGAGTACGATATTACCGGAGGTGTACCCCAGGGCTCTGTACTTGGTCCACTGCTGTGAAATATCATGTACGATGGCCTATTGAGATTGAAATTGCCAAGAAGTGTAAAACTCGTAGCGTATGCAGACGACGTAGCCGTAGTAATCGTCGATAAACACCTTGACGAGATTAACAACATGTTCGACATCACCTTCGAGCGAGTCCATCGGTGGATGAATACGGTAAACCTGCATCTGGCTACACAGAAAACTGAGGCAGTGCTTATATCCAGCAGAAAAGTGTTAGAGACCATGAAGCTGAACGTCGGCGAACAAGAAATGACATCACAACCTTATATCCGATATTTGGGAGTGATGCTTGATGCCCGTCTCAACTTTAAACAACAAGTGGAACACGTCAGTGCCAAAGCGTCAGTAGTGAGGGCTAGTCTCGCACGACTGATGCCGAACGTCGGAGGCCCAAAGCAGAGCAGGAGACTACTACTATCATCAGTTGTCACATCGGTGCTCACATATGGAATATCCATTTGGGCAGACGCGCTAAAGTTGCAAGAATCATGGAGAAAAGCTGGACCAGTATATCGACTGAGCGCTGTAAGACTAGCCAGTGCATTCCGCACGATATCAGAAGTAGCAGTGTGTGTCATTTCAGGAACTTTGCCGCTCAGAGGTCTAGCTGAGGAAAGACGGAACCTTTACCAACGAACGAGGTCAACCACACTGAGCCCCAAAGAACTTAGAACAGAAGAACGGCAGCACAGCATCTCGCGATGGCAACTTGAGTGGGACGCCGCGGCAAAAGGAAGATGGACATACCGCCTCATACCAAAGATCGATGTTTGGCTGATCCGAAATCATGGCGAAGTCAACTATTATCTAACGCAGATGTTGTCTGAACATGGGTGCTTTCGAGAGTACCTGCAACGCTTTAAGCATGACGATTCTCCGGAGTGCCCGACTTGTCCAGGAGTTATTGAGGACGTAGAGCACGTTTTCTTTGCGTGTCCACGTTTTGATCCTCAGCGAAATGAGTTAGAAAGGATCCGGAAACGGAGAATCCAACCAGAGACAATTGTAGAGACAATGTTGTCGAGTCAAACTGCTTGGAACGCTACAAACACTTTTGCCACAGAAGTCCTTACAGAGCTGCGTTCCATTGAAAGAAAAAGAGCGAATGACAGAAACTAGAAGGAAGAAATAACATCTTAGCCACCAGAAGGAAGAGCGGTAGCTAATTCCTCCCCCCGCGAAGAAATGCCTTTCGGCGGTACCATGGGGGATCAGAGGATAGAAGAGAAAGGGGTTTAGGGTTTAGTGGGTAGGGGCGTCAGCGTCGAGTTTTAGTGTGACGCTGCGTCGAGTCGCCACATATCCAGACCAACAACTATGCCTAGAATCCGTAAAAAGGATTCCCCCCCCCTAAGGGAAAAAAAAACACACACACACACACATACATACATACATACGGACATCATCACGAAAATATTCAGGGAAGCTTCTTTGGACCTCTAAACGTCAAGATCTGATGAGAACTCGATTTTCGAAAAACGTGGTAAAACCAATAACTTTCCAATTTTTGAAAATTTTCAAATTTCCTGTCGGGAAATGTTATTTAAATAGGAAATGGAAAATTAGGGACAGACACCTCTAAATATTAATATTAAGAGCTTCGCTTTGAACAGGCTTCTGTTCTCACCGTCATGCAAGTTTTCAGCCTATTTTTTTGTTGAAAAAATAGTTGCCTCAAATTAACACACCCTAATATATATACGTGTCTATGGATCATACAATAGTGAATTGTAGTAAAAAATAAAGAAGCTAGTAAAAAATAGTAAATTTTTAGACTGTAAAATTTATAACAAATTGTGTAACAAGGAGTAACAGGAATTGATTGTTCAACAACCGACACATAATTATTATTTATTTACTATAGGTATATTGAATTAGTAAAAGTGTTAATCAAATTAAAATTGTTTATTCACAACGTAACAATAAAATAATGGTTTCTAATAACTGGTTTTATATAGTCGATATTAAATACCGTGAACGGTTTCATACCGTCATGCTTTCATACCGTAGAGAATATTACGGTAAAATGACCGACCTATACCGTCACGGTTACGGGCGAATAGACACTTTCGCCCACTATATGCCGATCTACGTCTGAAATACTTTTCCAATGATGAAAACCCTGTATTCCAAGAAGAACCACTCCTGTCCCTGGAAACTCTGGACCCAATACTACTATAAAAAGTTTTTTTATTTTGTAAGCAGTGCCTGAAGCTGAGAGAAACTAACAGCTAGTTTTGATTATTATTTTTGGCTCCTCTATACTATCTATACCATTTATACCTTTTTTACTATTTCTATAATGGCATCTTATTTTGTTTCAGTTTTTAATACTAAGTTTGTTCCTAGATAAATTAAATCAAATAAAGTAGTAAGCAGATAAATGTATAAAATAAATCATACAATGACAACTATCTTAAACTCTGTATAATTGCTATGAAGTTTGTAACTTGTTATAAGCAATAAAGATTATTATAATCAATTTTTCTTTCAATTTTATTCTATTTATTTAAATTCATTTAATATCTATAATTAATTAATTAATGTCATCAATTCATTTGTTATTTAGCTAATTTTAATTTATTTCTTTTGTCTTACAAACTCATCACTAGCACTTTTATTTAATTCATTATTATTATTTTTTTCAATTTTACTTTATTTATTTATTTGTCTTAATTTAATTTATTTATTTATCTTTTTTAATTTATTTCTTTATTTATTTAATTATTATAATAAACAAAAAAAAAATACTAACATACCATCAACCTGTTCAAGCCTATTCTCTAACTGTTGTAATGGTTGCCATTGTTCTTCTAAAAACTATAATATTTCCGAAAACGGAAAACGCGACACCCGCGACACCCGCGACACCCGCGACACCCAAGCTTCGGGTGGAGACGAAGAATACAAAGTCTCATGGTAGTGACAGAGACAGCAACATGGCGGCTCTTGTAAACAAACCGGCGTGCTGTCCTCAGTCCATGCTTGGTTGTGTTGGTTAAAAAAAATATAACAATTGGCACTAAATTTTTGAAATAATTATCAATAATTATTAAGAATTTATTAAATAATAAATATCAATCATCAAAATGAGATGACATTGCTTTTAAATAATTTTACTATTAATTTAATGTTGAAAAAACCGGGAAAAAAATTATAATTTAAAAATTACTTTAATTTTTTTTCATTGAAAAAAATTTTTTTTTTTTTAATTACTCTTGTAATTATAATTTATTTATAAAAATTTTTCAAATTTTAATTATTAATTTTTTTCTAATAAATCAACTATATTTAATAAATTTAATTCAAAATCTCCCGCGGCCAAAATCACTTGTCAATAAATAAGTCGATTCGAGACGCCCTCTAACAAACCTTAGAATTTGTCTATGATGGTAACTGGACTATGTTAGTAAATAGAATTGTGCTATTAACATCAGCTCTAAATTTAAAATATTTAAATTAAAATATTATTAATTTATTTGAAAAATATTTAAATGTAAACTATTACTAATTCATTTAAAAAAAATTTTTAATTACTACTAATTTATTTAAAAAATATTTAAATTTAAACTATTATTAATTTATTTTAAAAAGTATTCAAATTTAAACTATTATTAATTTATTTCAAAAAGTATTTAAATTTAAACTATTATTATTATTAATTTATTATAAAAAGTATTTTAATTTAAACTATTATTAATAATTTATTAAAAAAAAAAGTTATTTAAATTTAAAGTATTATTATAAATTTATTTTAAAAAATTGTGCTATTAACATCAGCTCTAAATTTAAAATATTTAAATTAAAATATTATTAATTTATTTGAAAAATATTTAAATGTAAACTATTACTAATTCATTTAAAAAAAATTTTTAATTACTACTAATTTATTTAAAAAATATTTAAATTTAAACTATTATTAATTTATTTTAAAAAGTATTCAAATTTAAACTATTATTAATTTATTTCAAAAAGTATTTAAATTTAAACTATTATTATTATTAATTTATTATAAAAAGTATTTTAATTTAAACTATTATTAATAATTTATTAAAAAAAAAAATTATTTAAATTTAAAGTATTATTATAAATTTATTTTAAAAAAATTATTTAAATTTAAACTATTATTAATTTATTTTAAAAAAAAATATTTAAAAGCTGATAATTAAAAATAATTATGTTTTATTGTTTTCTACAAAATTTACACTTAATTACTAATGGAATATCATTAAAAAATTCATCATATTCGATAGCTGTTGTTGTATAATGTTCATTACAGCGTCTGTATTTCATGATGTCCTTGTCTTCTTGAAGAGCTGTTGGTAATTTTGACCAGATACTGTTGATTTTGTCAGCAGCACATCCAATAATAAAATATTTAGGTAGCATGGCAATATCTTGAGGTCTCATATCTTCAATACTCAACTTGCAAAATAATTTTAGAGATTTTTCAAGCGATGGATTTCCGCAGTAATTTTTGACAAACCATTCTTTTAATTTTTTAACATTCTCTAAAGCACACCAGTACAAGTCGGCATGTTGTTCATGGTTGCTACAGAAATTACAGTAATAATCCTGACGTTTTTTCAATGGTGGACAGTTCAGGTTCTCCAAGTCAATAATTGTCTTTGACTTGACAATATTTTGTAGCCAGCGTTTTTTCTCTAAGCCCTTGACATATATGAACTGCTTGTCAGCGGTTGCTTAGTCTATGACTTGGTTGAGTTTGTCATAAGCAACTTGTCCTTGACTCCAGGAAATTTCATGACAAGCAGCTATGATGGCTTGTTAAGTCGTTGGTAGTGTAATGATTGAGAGCTCCATGAGTAAGGTGGCTTGAAGACTGTACTTGATATTTCTTCAATCTCCTGGTCAATGGTAATCCAAGCCAGCTCCTTGACTATGAAAGTTTCACCTTGAAATCCTTGAACGTCGATTATAATTTCCATGATGCTTCCAAGTTGAAGAAAAAGTGAGAAGTGAACCGCTGGGAAATCGCGGTGTTTATATAATATTAACCGTGGAAGGTCGCGATTGGTTGTTACTGAGTAGTGGGAGAAACGATTCGCGGTGAGAAAGGGGTTATGACGTCAGAGAGAACCGCGCGCGCTGCATAGATGGCACTAAAATTTGATTGGTCGTCACGAGGTGGTGGTGGTAGCGATATCTCAGCGGGTCTGGAAGGGGTATCAGAAAGGATGATGCAATTTGTTAGAATATATAAACAGGTAATTCTGTGAGCATTTTCATTCTTAAATCTTCAGTGATACTATCAAGAACAAGTTCCTACTCAAGAAAACTTAGTAAGAAATCTTTCAAGGAACAAGTTTCTCCTTAAGAAAACTTTGTAAGAAAACTTTCAAGTTTATACTTAAGAAAAACTTTGTAAGAAAACTTTCAAGGAACAAGTTTCTACTTAAGAAAACTTTGTAAGAAAACTTTCAAGTTTATACTTAAGAAAAACTTTGTAAGAAAACTTTCAAGGAACAAGTTTTTACTTAAGAAGACTCTAGCCAACAAATCAGTGCTTTCAAGTCAAAATGGATTTGAAAACAGTCATCAACAACTTGGTGGCAACAGTCATCACCGCATATGAAAACCTTGAGCAAGCTGATCAAGTTTCTCAAGAGACTAGTTTGAGGTGGTTTCAGATTTGTGAAAACAATGTCCAGTACTACACTACAATACTACTGGACCCCACCTCAAACGTTCATCTGCGACAATGTGTACTGTCAAACATTGCCATTTTAAACACCTATGGTGAAAAGTTTATAAGCTTGAGCCATAGAGTTGTTGGTGGTGACCTTGGTCATCAACATCAAGTTGCAGCTATCAAATGGCAAGATATGGAAAGGGCATTCCAGGACAGAGTTAAAACTGGATGTGTAATCAATCTTAGACACACCGATTTAAAAGCTTTTTTAAGAGAGGCTGAAAATATGGCTATAGAGAAGATCCAACAATCAATGCAGGAGCATGGTAGCTTAAAAGTCTACACCCAGCTACTCTGCAAATTTGAAAATCATAAAAATGATGCTGTTGTTGTAGGAACAAAGTCTTTTCAAACTAAGACTTCTACAATATTAGCTAACACAGAACTGCATGAATGGTTTCAAGACAATGTTACAGATCAACTGCTGAAAAAAATTGAGAATTTTAATGAGAATCAGTCTGGATGCAGTTTGACTGAGATTCTCAACCTCAGCATCAACATATCAAGATATGCACCGCTCCAAGCAGGTCTCTCAACGTTTGTGCGGCTTCCTAGAGATATTCAGAAGAAGAAAGCTGTTGTAAATATAATGAATGAAGACCACTACTGTTTCCTTTGGTCAGTCGTAGCAGCTTTATATCCAGTTTCATCAAACAGCTGTGTAACATCATCATATCCATATCCAAGCTCAGTACTAGATCATACAGGTATAAAATTTCCTATAGAACTTAAAGATATACCATTGTTTGAAAAACTTAATGATTTAAAAATCAATGTGTACGGTATAGAGGCTAAAGAAGATGATGAAAAAGATCCTAGCATAATTGTACCGCTATATCTAAGCTCAAATCTTGACTGTCAAAAAGACACTATTCATTTACTTATGATAGAAACAAATATTACTTTAAATGATGATGATGATAGTATTGAAAACCATAGACCGATATTTCATTTTGCATTCATTAGAAATCTGTCACGTCTAGTAAAAAGTAGCATCACAAAAGGAAAAACAAAATTATTCTTTTGTGATCGATGTCTATGTCATTTTAAACTTGAAAGTTCTTACCAAAGGCATTACACTGATTGTCTTTCACATAATAAAGTAAAAATGAGCCTTCCTAGTCAAGAAAACAAAATCCTATCTTTCAAAAATCATAGCTTCAAAGACCCTGTTCCGTTTGTTGTTTATGCAGATCTGGAAAGCGTTCTCGAGCAGGAAACAGAACATATTCAAAAACATACTCCTCATAGCATTGCTCATTACTTACACTGCAATTATGACAATTCATTATCTAAATTTAACATCAATCGTTCACCTGATTATATAAAATGGTTTGTCCAAGAGCTTGAAACTATAAGCCATCAAGTTAGTAATCTTTTAAGAAACCCTTTACCTCTTCCAAAGTTAAATAATGAGGAGCAAAGATCTTTCAGTCAAGCAGTGAATTGTTATATTTGTGGTAAGTCATTTAATTCTGCCAGTGATAAGAAAGTTAGAGATCATTGTCACTTCACGGGTAAATTTAGAGGAGCTGCTCACAACTCCTGTAATTTGAACTTTCAACAGACACATATTATACCAATAGTTTTTCACAATTTGAGCAGTTATGATTCACATTTCATTTTAGAATCTGTAACAACTGTTTTTAAAGGTAAAATTGAGATATTACCTATCAACAAAGAAAAATATATAACTTTCACCAAGACTGTAGACGATACAACTATTCACTTACGTTTTATCGACTCATTTAGATTTATGGCGTCTAGTATAGACAAACTTTCTTCCTACTTGACTGACGATAGCAAAATTATTACATAACAGTTTTATTCAGATCCTCAAGAATTAAAATTGGTAACTTCTAAAGGGATATTTCCCTATGAATATGTAGACTCATTGGAAAAATTAGACGCGACAAAACTACCCGACAAACAGGACTTTTACTCACGACTCAATGACAAGCATATCAGTGATGAAGACTATACGTTTGCTCAGAAAGTTTGGGATAAATTTAATATACAAACTCTTGGTGAATACTCGGATCTCTATTTAAAAACTGATGTCTTGTTACTGGCAGACATTTTTGAAAATTTCCGTTCAAGTTGTTTCAAAACTTATGAATTAGATGCTCTTCCTACTATACTGCTCCAGGACTAGCTTTTTCAGCAATGCTTAAACTCACAGGAGTCCAACTCGAACTATTACTAGATCCTGAAATGATACTCTTCTTTGAGAAGGGTATTAGAGGTGGAGTATCACAATGTTCTAATCGTTATGCTCGAGCCGATAACCGCTACATGGGTAAGGACTTCAACCCTGAAGAAGATGAATCTTACATCTTATACCTAGATGTAAATAACTTGTATGGAAGCGCAATGAGCATGCCTTTACCCCAAGGTTCTTTCACATGGGAAAATAACATCAGTGAGGAAAATATTTCATTATTCACTTCTAACGAATCTACTGGGTACATTCTCGAGGTAGACTTGGAGTATCCAGAAGATCTCCATGAGTTACACAAAGACATGCCATTGTGCCCTGAGCATTTTACACCACTAGACGGCAAAACATCTAAGCTAGCCACAACACTGCATCCAAAAAAAAACTATGTTATTCATTATAAAAACTTGGAGCAGTGCTTACAACTAGGTATGAAACTTGTCAAAGTTCATCGAGTTTTAAAGTTTGCTCAATCAGCATGGCTTAAACCATACATCGATAAGAACACTGAATGTCGACAAAAAGCCACCAATGAGTTTGAGAAGAATTTTTACAAACTGATGAACAACGCAGTATTTGGCAAGACTATGGAGAATGTGGGTAAGCACAAAGATATCAAGCTGTTTAGTGAATGGCGAGGTCGATATGGTGCTAAAAGTTTGATCTCCAAGTCCAACTTTCATAGCTTCACCATTTTCGGTGAAGATCTGGTAATAGTCGAGTTGAATAAAGTTAACGTTTATTTTAATAAACCTATTTACGTTGGCTTCAGCATACTTGACTTGTCTAAGACTTTCATGTATGACTTTCATTATAATTATGTGAAAAAAAATTTTTCTAATGAAGATTCAAAAATGCTCTATACTGACACAGACAGTCTTATTTATCACTTTCGAGTCCCCGATATTTATGAAATTATCAAACGTGATATTCACAAGTTTGATACCTCTGACTACCCGCTCGATAATGCATACGATATTCCTCAGAAGAATAAAAAAGTTCTGGGACTCATGAAAGATGAGAACAATGGCAGAACTATGTCAGAGTTCGTGGGTCTCAGAGCAAAATTGTATGCCTTTAAACTATATGATAACGAAGCTGATGTTAAAAAGCGAGCTAAGGGAGTTAAAGGATCAACTCTGAGGAAAATCACGTTTGATGATTTTAAAAACTGCTTAATTGATCATGTGAATGTACATAAGGATCAATACTTGATCAAAAGCAATAAGCATGTAGTGAAGACAGTGCTACAAGAAAATAAGCTTGCCCTGAGCTGGGATGATGACAAGCGCCGGCTGCTGGATAACTCCACAGACACCCTGCCATGAGTTTTTAAGAATGTCAATTTAGAACCAGCAGCTAAACGACAGAAAATGTAAAAAATAGATTTAAGTTTGTAAATACTTAGGATTAAGTTTGTAAATAATTAGACTTAAGGTTTATGTTAATAAATATTTATTATTATTATTACATATCTGACTTATTAATCCAACTGTTATGACTATTATCAAAACCTAACCACTTTACATAATATTTATTTCCTCGTGTTTTTATAACTTTCTCAACAAGATACACATCTGGATATTTGACTTTGCTCAGTTCCTCTTCGTAAAATCCACCTTCGATTGGTTGATCTTGATAGTCTACTAGCTTATAAGTTTTTGGAGTTGTATTCTGTACTGTCTCGATTGTGAAAATCTCTGTTGTCCAGTTTGGTGTGTAGCCTTTCTCGAATACATTTTTGTACTTGCTGATTCGGACTTTGTCTCCAACTTTGAACTTCTTTTTCTGTTGTCACTTGGCTTGCAGTGGTTGATATATGTTTTCCAGCAGCTGTTTTTCCTGAGCAGCAGTTACATCAGCAGGTTTCATTTTAATAGTCCGATGCTTGGTGGTATTGTAGGACTTTACCAAGTTATCAAGTATATCAGTCCACTTGTAGCTACCACGAGCTGTGAATTCTCTGCACATTTTAGTCTTAAGTGTTCTATTGAAACGCTCACATATAGATGCATTGAGATTGCTGAATGTTGAGTAAAGATTTATCTTGTGCTGCTTCATCAGGTCTTTAAATTCTTTGTTGTAGAACTCTTTACCCTGATCAACATGGAGATTTTTAGGTATGCGACCTTGCTGGAGTACCAACTTCATAGCACTAGTGACATCAGCACCGCTTTTAGATTTAATTGGAACTGCCCAGGCATATTTTGAAAATATATCTATGATTGTAAGCAGATACTTGTATCCTTTATTAACTGTTGCATATGGAATCATCTCAACCAAGTCAGCTTGCCAAGTCTCATCGAGACCTCGGATGTCAACATGACGACGTTTATAGTTCCTACGCGCTGGTTTGTGAAGCTCTTTAGCTATCACTGCCTTTTTGTCGACCATTGAGTTTCTCAATGAGATATTTTATAGTATTCTGGTGAGTGGAGACTACTGCTTTAACGTCCTCAATAGTTGTCTGCAAATTTATTATAGTAGCTTTCAGTATTACTATGCTTTTATCCAGTTCAGATATATGTCTCAGTACAAATTGCACTGTTGCAGCATCGTGTTCATTTGAAGGATTACCAAGATTGCACAATCTTTTATTCTCAATGTTATAGTTTCCATCAGAAGTTACATTGAAACCTCTACCAGGTGGTCCTCGTTGACCTGACTTGTCATTGTCCATTGGACGTCCAAATATATCGATGCTCATAGTTGTAAACACTTTGACTGTCAACGTGTGAATGATATAATTTTCTAAAAGCTTTTAATATATAACTCCAGCCTCTCTAAGCTCTTCAATAATTGACATGATTTTATTCGTGTGACTTGGATTTCCAGCAGCTTGAGACGCCATCAGCAGCCGCAAACGATCAACTAGTTCATTTGGATCATCCCAGTATACGTAGTCCATGGGTGTCTTGGTGGTAATCATAAATTTTGGTAGTCCTCTACCATGCTTTTCAACCAAATCAGCAATATATTTCTTATACTTGTCTGTTGAACCTCTGTAAATACTTTTACTTGGATCATAACTTTTCCTATGAGTATTTGTTCTCTGGATAATTTCCAAATATTTTGTCTTGTCATCTTGCGTGACAAGCGTATCTTTTGGTGTTTTTGTAAACAATAATTCCAACAACCCAGGAGTTATTGGATAATTTCTTTTTTTGACAGTTATTGTATCATTTGCAAATGAAATATTTGAATCACCCATATACATTTCACCATGTTTTCTGCGTACACCATATCTCATGTCATTATTTTTGTTTTTTGAACTTAAACGTTGTAAATAATGAGAGAGAACGGGATTTTTACGAGCTGGAGTACTTGTTGATGGTGGTGGGGTAATAGCAAATGCTGTGTTGTTAGATAAACTTTCATCATCGGTCATTAAACTGTTGTATGCGGTTGGGTCAGCGTATAAAGATTTTTCAATCTCTTGTTCTTGAACCTCTTCTTCTTCTTTTTCAACCTGCGACTTTTCTTCTTTTTTAATATTTTTTTCTTTAAGCTTTGAAGATTCAACTATACTCTGAAGTGGTGTTACAATAGGCTTGAACATTTCCTCCATGGCTTTTTCAGCTGTATCTTTACCCAACTTCAACATCTTATGTTTCCGTCGGATAGCATCGCTGGCTTGAGATATCTGATGCAGAATATCTTTCTGCTTTGAAATTTCTTCAGGCTTCATGTTGATAGGTTAAAGTCTACAGCATGTGTGACTATCACACTTTAAAGTACCTTAATTTATACTAATGAAGCAGTCGAATCCTTTTCGATATCTGCCACTGTTCAACTCACTGTCTTTATCTATTACCACAAAC